CAGGCAGGCAGGCAGACAGACAGACAGGCAGACAGGCAGGCAGACAGACAGTCAGTCAGACAGGCAGACAGACAGGCAGACAGACAGACAGGCAGACAAGCAGACAGGCAGACAGACAGACAGTCAGGCAGACAGACAGGCAGACAGGCAGGCAGACAGACAGGCAGACAGACAGGCAGGCAGACAGACAGACAGTCAGACAGGCAGACAGACAGACAGTCAGACAGGCAGACAGACAGACAGACAGGCAGACAGACAGGCAGGCAGACAGGCAGACAGACAGGCAGACAGACAGGCAGGCAGACAGACAGGCAGGCAGGCAGACAGACAGGCAGACAGGCAGACAGACAGTCAGGCAGGCAGACAGACAGGCAGGCAGACAGGCAGGCAGACAGGCAGGCAGGCAGACAGGCAGACAGGCAGACAGGCAGACAGGCAGACAGACAGACAGGCAGACAGGCAGACAGGCAGACAGGCAGACCTGGTTCTAGAACAAAACAACACGTTAGGGTGCAGCTGGCATTTAAGGGCAGGGTGAAAGAGGGTGAGGGTGCAGAAATGTAAACTGAGGGTGAAGCTTTTGCCCCCTCATAGAGCTGCGCCTCGTTATTAACAGTTTGTTATGATGACGTCACTTTATCTGAGGACCGCTGATGACACCTGAGTCAGGTGAAGGTTCTCCGTGATATTCACGTTGATGGATATGAAGTCAAACGATGAATAATGTTAAAGTCATAAAATATCCAGAAGTGATTCTACACGACGAGGGCTCTGACCTCAAATGAGGTCCTCCTCCTCTTCCTCCTCCTCTTCCTCCTCCTCCTCCTCTTCCTCCTCCTTCTCCTCTTCCTTCTCCTTTTCCACCTCCTCCTCCTCTTCCTCCTTTTCCTCCTCCTCCTCTTCCTCCTCCTCCTCCCCCTCCCCCTCCCCCTCCTCCTCCTTTCCTCCTCCTCCTCTTCCTCCTCCTTTTCCTCCTCTCCTCCTCATCCCCTCCCCCCCTCCTCCTTCTCCTCCTCTTCTTCCTCCTCCTCCTCTTCCTCCTCTTCCTCCTCCTCCTCCTCCTCCCCCCCCCCCCACAGTGTGTGCTAACTAATCAGACATATTTAGTTTTTTGTTCCAGGTTGTAAACATGTTTATTTATTCTGTAAAAACATATTTTTTAAATGTGGTGTGTGTGTGACTTCCTGTGTTCCTGCAGCCAGCCTCTAGTGGACACTCGAGGAACTGCAGGATTTTACACTTCCATGTTGTCTTCATATTTCAAGACGGGAGGTTGCTGCTCGCTTCCTCAGCTCCAGCTCTCAGCCTGTCGTTAGGTTGACTGAAAGTTAGACTGAGACAGCATTTCCAGCATGGAGACCGCCATCGATGGGACTCCAGCGCCCCCTGCAGGGACAGACGGGTGACGTCACTCAGGCTTTGTCCGTTAATATTTACAGTCTATGATTGTGACAAGCCTCGAATCAGGGCCACGCCCACTGATCAGGCCAAAGATCGTCTCGTATGTAGCTTTCTGTTGATTCTGGTTCCCCCTGTGACAAATCTCCTTATCCTTTTTTTTAAGGATTATTTTTGGGCTTCTCGTGCTATTTTTTGACAGGCGGGAAAAGGAGCAACAGGCCGTCTGATTGGAGGACTACAGCCTCCGTACATTGGGCATGCACACTAACCACTAGGCCACTGGCACCCCTATTGTTAACCTTTTTATTCTTTGATATCGGTCTCTTCTTGCCTTGCTTACCACACGTAACACAATCTCAGTGATGTTCAGTTCAGACGTGTTGTATCGCTGAGTGTAGAGGGGCGGAGTCACATCAGACGAGTTCAGTGTGAACATGTGGAGGTCAGGGGTCAGAGTGCACGTCAGTGTACTCACCAAAGAGCCCTTCAGGGGCCCTCGTTTTTTTGTGTGCTGACACCAAATGATCCTCCTGCTCTGCAAACAGGAAAACAGTGACATGACTCCCACCCAGGAGGAGGAGGAAGAGGAGGAGGAGGAAGAGGAGGAGGAGGAGTAGGAGGAAAGGGAGGATGAGGAGGATCAGATCTCTGCAGTCTGAGTGCTGGATGGCGGAGAGGTGAGACGCTGTGGACGGCAGCTGATGGGTGAGCCGACAAAAACTGAACTGAGAGAGCGAGAGAGAGAGAACAAATTAAGAGAGAGAGAGAGAACAAATTAAGAGAGAGAGAGAGAACAAATTAAGAGAGAGAGAGAGAGAGAGAGAGAGAACAAATTAAGAGAGAGAGAGAGAGAACAAATTAGAGAGAGAGAGAGAGAGAGAACAAATTAAGAGAGAGAGAGAGAACAAATTAAGAGAGAGAGAGAGAGAGAACAAATTAAGAGAGAGAGAGAGAGAGAGAACAAATTAAGAGAGAGAGAGAGAACAAATTAAGAGAGAGAGAGAGAGAGAACAAATTAAGAGAGAGAGAGAGAGAGAGAACAAATTAAGAGAGAGAGAGAGAACAAATTAAGAGAGAGAGAGTGTATGTCAGTGTAAAAGGGGGATTAACTCTGTGTTGTGATTATTTTTTACTTTATGGAAAAGTTGCTTTGTTGTCCTTGTTTTTTTTTGTTTGCAAACATGTTTTTATTTTTGGGAGCGACGAGTCCTTTCAGACTCAAACAGCAGCCGTTAGAAACGTGAAGGAACAGAAGAAAGCTGCCTCTATTGGGGCCTTTATGAGAAAAACACAAACCTCCTCATGTCCCAAAACAATCCGCTTCGTGCACAGAAGACTTCACGCTGGTGTTGTGAAGCTGCAACAACAAAAAGAAAATATTCATCGTAAAACAGAAAAATCAGGAAAATCAGGAAACTTTCAAGATTCAAGATGTTTATTGTCATGTGCACAGTAGGAAACATGTTTCCCTGTACAATGAAATTCTTTCTTTGCTGTCCACAATGAATGCCAACAGTAAAATATTAAAATTAAACACAGCCAAATAAAAATAATAATAATAAAAACAATAATAATATATACAAATGTACAAAATATACAAAATAAATAAGGCAATTTGAAGGCAGTAGAGTGCAAATAGAAAATTTAAACTGTGCAAAAACTGAGTGTAATATGTGTAAACTGAGCATGAGGTAGTTTGTGATTGTTACACTGCTGTCAGTTGCTGAGGAGTCGGACGGCGGTGGGAAAGAAAGACTTCTTGAGTCTGACTTTCTGTTTTACGATGAATATTTCAAGGTTTTTTTTTTTCTTTTTTTATCTGCAAATCTCCCAAAAGGCCTGACTTTGAAACAGATGGATAAACTTCCTGGGGGAATTTATATTTTATTTTTATAAAAAAGAATTTGCAACTCCCAAGGATTTGGATTCACTACGAGGCTCCTGCAGCAGGTCAGAGGTCAACAAAAAAATGTGTTTTATTACGCTTTGCTTCGACCTCTTTAATGACGAATCCACTTTTTAATCTATTTATCAACCATTTCAAGCAGAATAACCGAAGACGAGAACAGAATAGAAAGCCTTTAATCAGTTGAATCTAAAAGGGACGATGTACTTCAACATTGTTGAAGAGCATGAGCTTGTCATTATATTATTAACAACAACAACAACAACAACAAATAGTTTACCCTAAAGTGAGTAAAACAGAAAGGCATCACCAGCGACAAAACCTTGCTTTCAAGTAAGAGAAGAGATCATGTAACAGCATGGTCAAAAAGTCAGTATGGATTTTTGCTGCACAGTCAGAAAAGTATAAACTGAACGGGTCGGGAAGACAACAGGAGGACTGAGCCTGCACAGCAGCAGCTGAGCAGCGTCCCTGTTTGTATTCATCTTGATCTTACTGATGGGTTCTTTTATTTTACTAATCAGGGTTATTCTCCAAGTCTTTAGCGCTCCAGTCACTTTGTCATGTTTGGTCCCGTGCTGTCGTTTGTGTGTTAAATCAAATCAAGATTACCTCACCTGACCTGACCTGCAACACCGATCCTGTCTCTCTCACTCTCACTTCTTAATCTTGTAAAAGCTGAATCAGAAATCAGAATCAGAAACACTTTTTTTAATCCCTGAGGGGAAATGATGGTTTCTGGTTTTACACTCACACACACACACACACACACACACACACACACACACACACACACACATGCACAAACAAACAGGAAGTGTGGACATGTATTAGTAGAGAGATGTCAGAGCGGGGCTGCTACACACTGCTACACAGGGAGCGCACCACAGCGGTTGGGGGTAAGGGGATCTCGGGGGTACTCGGGAAGTGCCCCAGCAACCAGAACAACTTCCCTATTTTGGTCCGCACCAGGACTTGAACCGGCGACCGTTTGTTTTCCAACCCAAAGTCCCTACAGACTGAGCTGCTGCACGGCCCTGTAAGAAGAAATGAACATGGTTGTCTTGCAGAACAAAGTGAGAAGGGTCCGCACACTGAGCAACGTTATTAAAGGGCAATGTTTCAATCCAAAAGAACTTCTGGAGTGTGCAGACCGTCCCCCTTTTTTTTCTGCAGTTTAAACCTTGTTTTTGTCCTGCACCTTTATGCCATTTATATATATATTGTCTTTTTTCTCTTTTTCATGGTTTTCTTGCTCTCGACATGATTTGTCCTTAAGTCCTTAAATTTCACCACTAAAGAACGACTATTGAATTCATCGTCGTCTTAAGGTCACCACTACTCCACACAGAAAGATTTGTAAGGGGCAATAAGTGAGCAACAGATTCAAGGCCTTAGAGGTTATTTATAGATATTTATGTCTTGTTCTTACTGATCCGCAGTGTATTCTTGTTTTTAGTCATTCTAATCTACTTTTTTATATTTAAACTTTTATTTATTTAAAAGGGAGGATGCAATTTAACAAAGTTTCAGTTCAGAGCATGAACCTGATGTGCTGCACAGAGTTTGCTGGGGTTTTTTTGCAGAGAAAATCAAATTATCCTAAATTTGGGTTATGTGATGATAAGATTAATAAACGAGGCTACTTTGAACATTTGGTGTTCACGCTTTGTACTGACGCTTGTCCCGGGTTATGTGTGCAGAGCAGAGCTACGGGGAGGTGAACCAGAGCTACGGGGAGGTGAACCAGCTCGGCGGCCTCTTCGTTAACGGCCGCCCGCTGCCTCACGCGCTCCGGCTGCGGATCGTGGAGCTCGCGCAGCTCGGCATGCGGCCCTGTGACGTCAGCCGACAGCTGCGCGTGTCTCACGGCTGCGTGTCCAAGATCCTGGCCCGGTACCACGACACCGGCTCCGTCCTGCCCGGAGCCATCGGAGGCAGCAAGCCCCGGGTCACCACCCCCGCCGTGGTCCGCAGCATCCGGGACTACAAGCAGGGAGACCCGGGCATCTTCGCCTGGGAGATCCGGGACCGGCTGCTGGTCGACGGCGTGTGTGACAAGTTCAACGTCCCGTCTGTGAGCTCCATCAGCCGGATCCTCAGGAACAAGATCGGGGCCTTTTCTCAGCAGCATGAGGGCAAACAAGGCCCGGGGCCGGTCCAGTACGGACCCGTTTACTCATACTCCTCCTATGCGGGGGCAGCAGGGACTCACACCGGGACTACCGCAGCAGGGCATGCGGGACTACCCCGGACCTGGACCAACATCCTGGGTATCAGAGCCCTCATGGAACCGACAGGTAGAAGGATCCTCAATTATTTGTTCTAATTTAATTCATGATTAAGATGACTTTCATTTATCGAATTATAGACTATCTTTTTTTATTTGATTTTCAAAAAAAATAAAATAATAATTATTACATTATTTATAATAATAATAATAACAATAATTATTATTATTATTTTAACAATTATTACATTAATAATCATAATAATAACAATAATAGGCCTACAGATAAAAATCGATAGATCAGACGGTTCATCTATTTCTGGCTTCCAAAATTTCTCCTTAATTATTCAGCCACGAACATTGAATTATTTTGAAGAATGATATTTTCATGATTTTTTTGTTTATTTTAGGAATGTTTCTCCATTTCTATGAAGCCTGTAGGCCTATTTATTTTTAAGATGGAGTAAACATTGAGCAAAAAGATTTTAATGCAACTCCAAGCCCAAAAACATCATGAAGGGTTGTACGAATCTCACGTTGGATTGAAAAAGAATAGGATAGATAATTTATTATTACGTTCTTTTAAATTAAACATTACGTTTTGTTTATTTGATAATAATAATAATAATAATAATAATAATAATAATAATAATAATAATAACCACTGTGCCTTTAAGAGGCAGCTCTTAAAATCAGTTTAAACTATAAATTACAATTAAAGAAAATGAAATAAAAGATAAAAAGTCCAAAAGCTGATAACAATAGTTTAAAAATAAAATCAAACTGTTGTTTCTATAGTAACTATTCAGCGTCCCAATGTTCTCATCTTACCTTTAGGCGCGTGATCAGGTGGATGGAAAGGTCTTTACCCTCAAAAAATAAAATAAACAAAGGTCCAAAAGTAAATGACTTTGTCCGTTTATTGTAAAATGTGAAGCAGACAAGCCGAGATGATGATATGGAGAATGATTGTTGCCGAGGTTTTTATAATTCCTTTTATGGTAAGAACCGTGTGTTCCCGCCACATATGCCACTAACTTCCGGTCCACCCGTGACGTGACCTATAAACACCTGACAAAACCACCTGACCAGTTAACCCCAGTGACCTTTAAATCACCACATAGAGTCCAAATGAAGTGACAAAATTAACAGGTCAACCAAAACCATTGAAGTACAAATACACACACACACACACACACACACACACACACACACACACACACACACACACACACACACACACTACACTGGCTGCTAGAGTTTTGTTTTATTTTATTTTATTTGGTTTTAAATGGCGTTGAATGCATTTTTACGTTTTAAATGATCGCCCATGGTTTATGATACGATTCTTGTAAAACCTACAATTAAAAGCAAGTTAAATTATTAATTATTATTATTATTAAATTCATTAAAGTTATTTAAATAATTGAAAGTGAAAGCAGCTGACTTATTATTTGATTTGTTTGTTTAACGGAGACACATGCAGTGAGCATTGCTTCATATATTAAAGAAATACAGAATGTGATACAAGCCTTAATGATGCGTTTATATCGGCCTGAGCAGGTCGTCAAAATAAAGGCGCCCGAAGGGACTAAACAAGGAAGGAAATACTACGGTGGCTGGGAAAGGCAAAGCAAAATTACAAAGTGTGAAACACTTTTACAAAATTTTAGACAAATTTACATTTTGAAAAATAATTTTACATTTTATAAAACACATTTATAAGATGTGAAACACTTTTAGCAGTCCCCAAACAAATTTACAAACAACAGATTCTCGACGGAAAGGGAATGTACCAAATGCAGGAAGTGACCCAGAAGTGATTGAGTGAGGGGTCAATTTGTTTGTTTTGGCAGAGAGACTTTGCAGATAATTAAATTTGAATTAATTTCTAATTTTTACATTATTAATATATGTATACACATAAGTTAATATTCATTTCTAGAGGTCTCAGTTCTGGATGGAGTTATGTGCAGACCTCCGAGATGTTGGATAAGTTTGAGAGAGCGTCCACATGAAAAGCAAAAGCTGAGTAATCTGACTCAAATGAGTTTTACAAAACAGGCAAAACATCTTTTCTGTCACCACAAACTCCGTCTCACTGTTCACCAAGTCTCTCTGCCAAAACAAACAAATTGACCCCTCACTCAATCACTTCTGGGTCACGTCCTGCATTTGGTACATTCCTTTTCCGTCAAGAATCTGTCATTTATAAATTTGTTTAGGGGACTGCTAAAAGTGTTTCACATCTTATAAATGTGTTTTGGTTTTGTCATTTTGTTTTATAAAATGTAAATTTGTCTCAAATTTTGTAAAAGTGTTCCACACTTTGTCATTTTGCTTTGCACTTGCCCAGCCACCATAAAAATAAGATGTGAGGTACTTTCTGAATAATTCACATCCAGATCTAAGATTTATTCGATGACACATGAAACTACAACAACTGGTTCTGCTCCTGCCGGCTCACACTCTCTCTCTGCGTCTGAGCCAAATAGAAAACCTGGGGAACAGGTGACTGCCATCACCACAATCATTTCCAGTAAAAACAGCCACCACCAATGTAAGGTAGACCACAAACAATAGATTCAATTAAGCTACATTTATTTTATTTTATTACATTTACAACAACAATGTGTACAGAACAAGACCAGATCCAGACATGATATCTGGATTAAAAAAAACACAAAACAAAGATGATGAGAGGGGGATGAAGTGAAAACCACAAACAAAACAAATGATTATATATCGTTGTTTTAAATGATGAAATCCATATTTCCCTCTCAGCTCTGTCTGGATGTGACGGACATGCAGCCAAAATGGAGGACTGGACCAGTATGACCAGTGTGAGAGCGATTCCCTCTGGATTGAACGTACTGGAGAAAACTGGCGAGCAAGAGCTGAAATACACACATCAGGTAAATGATCCATGCACACTCAGCGATTTTTTGTTATTATTCCATTAAGCATTTTTAATTCACCACTTGTTTTTTTTCTCCCACCTGAAGTGTGAAATAACAACGGAAAAATTCAAAATGCGCGACACTGATTGGCTGATAGCGTCCCTCTGTTTGACATTTTCTTTCCAAACATGATGTTCACTGTGAGATTACATCGATTGTTGGGAGGAGAGAGAGTGAACGTGACGCATTTCAAACCTGATTTCCACAGGAGGAGGAATCCTGCTGGGTGCGGTGCGCCCCCCTTTGCCTTTAATCCTGTTCCTACTTTAAGTCAAACTTTTACAGGATAATCAAGCAAATCAAATTTATGAGACACTGCTACTGAATGCTTGAGTTTAGAGAATGAGTCTCTTTGAAGGTAACTCGATTTTGTTTCCTAAAAGCGTTTATTTTCTCTCCTTCCTCCTCAGTCTGCGTCCAGTCTGCCCAGTTATGTCTCAGCGTGTGCGTATTCTCCAGCTAACCAGTACGGCCTGTATGGAGCTTCAGCAGCAAACTACATGAGCACTGGACCCCGCTGGCAGCCTCAGTCCTCCAGTATAACTCCCAGTATGAGTCCCAGTATGAGTCCCAGTATGAGTCCCAGTCTGACTCAGAGTCCGTCTCTTAAACTCCCACAGAGCCACGGTGAGACTGATTCAAATAACCTTTTGTTGTGGATGTTTTATTTGTTTAATCATAAATATTGTTATTAATACAAGAAGTTAAATGCATTTTTTTTCTTAACACTGGAGATTTCTCCGCCCTAATTCACATTTCTTCTCCCCCCCAGCTGTTTATACTCATGTCTCTGTTTCAACTTTGTGGCCGACTGTAATCTAAAACACTTCATTCTACATTTAAAGCTATAAAAACACATCTGAGGTTTTTATTTCTCCTAAATTCTGCACATTCTGCTCAACAACCACTCACAAAAAGAAAAAAGGGTCAAATGACACTTCAGACTCCTGTCATTTTTCTTTGTTAAAGGAGCAGTATGTAGCTCTGCCCCCTAGTGTTTAAAACAGGTACTGCAGTCCAAATTCAAAACATTGTAGAGAGCTGTCTCCCCCCCCCCTTCTCTTTAGAGTCGATGCTCACACAGGTCACCATGTGGTGGACTCTGAAGCTTCAGTGTTTATCCAGCTCTGCATGGGTCTGTAAACCTTTCTGTGTTCTAACCTCTCTCCATTTTTCAAAAGCATCTCCAATATTGATCCTAGTTTGAGCACGTTTCTGCTCGTGGAGCTTATTAGAAACATGCAGAGGCTTTTTAGGTCGGGTACAATCACTTCTATCTGAACTACTTCTCTTGACCGCTTCCATCGCTGCAACACCTGTTGACCTGATAACTGCTCTCATATCTGGCAAACCGAGGGGTGTCCAAAACGGCCGTGTGGGGGGGGGGGGGGTGTCTTAAAACCGCCTACCTTCTCTGGTCCAAACAAATCCAGAGCATTCAGGAGCAGAATCTAAAGTTAGAAGGAGGACATACTGGCTGCTGCATTGTTGTCAGAGAAGCCAGCACTTCAACATAGCATGTTTCCTTAATGATCAGATAGTAAGATCACTTTATCATCTCACTCTCTACACATCTTACTGATTAGACCTTTATTGATCCTTTATCCTTTTTTTGGCACAATGTGCTAATTCATTTATCTGATTTCTGTTTACATGATTTGAAAGAGTGCCACAACCTACACATGTTTATACAGACTGTTCTGTCTCCTGTAAGTGGAACAACACTAAAATGATCGATGTCTGTTGTTTTCTCTGCAGACGAAAGGAAACCTCAGACACACGTGTACAGACGTCACCATGCTGCTCACAGATTATCTCCAGCGTCGTGACAACTCTGCAAAAAACTCAAGGAGACAATATGAAGCTGACGGACTGTCTGGTTTTTATCTCGGAGGAGGGACGAGGCAGAGTGACACTCATGGCTTCAGAGCTAATGTGCTAACAGAGCAGCAGGAGACACGTTCACGACCGACTGCTTTTAGGACGTGTGGTGAAAGAAACATTTACTCCATATGCATGCAGAAATGTAAAGTCAAAGTAAGAAACAATAAATATACTCTTGTACTTTTTAACTTTCCATCTTAAACAGAAATCCTTTAAAGAAATGATTGCGTGTATTAGGAGCTCGTTTTATTTCCTTTCTTGCGGTGAGATGTTCACATCATTGCCGCTCTCATTTTTGTGGGTTCAATATGAAGCTACATCTAACAGGCAGCTTACCTTAGCTTAGCATAAAGTATGTGGGAACAGCTAGCTGTGCTTTGATACCCAGCGCATATCTGGAACCAGATCTTTGTTCATGGCTCTCGGCCAGAGAAAAAACGGGTTCCAGAGTTGCACAAACTCCTTGCTGATCTACGTCAGGAGCGGGGACTTATCGTTACCAAAATCAAATCACAAAAAACGTTTGTTGTGACCGCCATTTTTTTTACAACATCTTGTGAGTTCCCCCTAAAATCTTTGAAAAGAAGCTTTAACGGACATCAAGGCTTAGCAGCAGTCGTCTGAGGAGGAAACGAGCTGTCGTCTTGCTGTTTGGTCTTCAGCTGAAGTCCAAAATAAGTTTGAGGGAGCTTGCTAAAGCAATGCTAAGGGGCAGGACTTGAAACAAGACTCTGTAGTCCTCTATTGTGGTTGCTGTGCTTGAAGACGGCGCGCAAGTGTTACTAAGAGACGTAAGCAGTGATACATGTAGAGACGTTGTGGCTCTTTTGCGGCCCTTGCCCGGGGAAAACCAAACTGATTCTTAGACGGTTTGCAAGTTGAACCAATTCTGAACCAGCACTATCTCCAGCCCAGAACTATCCCCAGGTTCACTTTGCTAGAAAAAGCTCCAAAACTGATTAAATTAAACATTTTATTTTGTTGACAAAAGCCAGGCCAGCTCTTTCTTCTTTCTTTCTCCAGGCTTTATGCTAAGCTAAGCTAACCGGCTGCAGGCCTCATATGTAACGGGAGTTTGGCTTCAATCGTCTCGTTTTACTTTCTCCCCAAAAAAAGCTATTACTAGCTATTACTTCAAACTCCATCGTTGTTGGCATGAAAGAAAACATTTGAATTGCACTTAACTTGGATCATGTTGTAAAATATATCTGTGAGGCTGTAAATATTATTTTGTATTAAAATGCTTCATAAAGACATGCATACATTGTCCAGTTTCTGCAGAGAGGAATGACAATAGCTCAAATGTAAAAGAGAAATATATTGAGACCAGACTGTAAATATTACTGGATGAAGCCTGAGTGACGTCACCCGTCTGTTCCTGCAGGGGGCGCTGGAGTCCCATTGATGGCGGTCTCCATGTTGGAAATGCTGTCTATTGAGACCGATTTGGTTTTTTGAACCAGGCTGTAAACATTTTAATCTCTGCTGTGAAAACAGGCTTTTTAGAATGGGTGTGTATGTGACTTCCTGTGCTTCTGCAGCCAGCCTCTAGTGGACACTCGAGGGATTGCAGGATTTTTCATTTCTGCATCAGCTTCATTTTGCTACATTAGAGGTTGCCGCTTGATTTAAACCTAAAAAAAACGTCATCTTTTTAAATATCCTGACATTTTATCAGATCCTGAATGTGTCAAATAATTTTTACAAATCAAAGTCATTTAGAGTTTTTCAGGACAGGCAATAAAAACACTGTTTTCAAGCCGATGTAATTAAAGTCAAAACTTGTTTTCTCCTGAATGAAACAAAGTTTACACGTGACAAAGAACCACTGCTGGAGTAACAACATGTTGGTGTTGCCCCCAGTCCTGGAGGAGCCTCCTGCAGGTGAAGAGACAAAAAGGTGTAACATGATCCATCAACAAACATCTCAAAGTGACCCTGAACGCCCTTTAAAACCTGTAGAGTGACAGAGCAAATATCAGCTCTTTGTTTGAATCTGTCTCTTTAGGAAATGTTTGAGTCTTTCAGGAAGTCGGTTAAGACTCGTTCTCTCGCTGGGATCTGAATTAAGAGTGAGCAGCTTCTTGTTTCTACTAACAAAACATAATGTTGGAGCCCATTTAAAGCATCATTCTCACATTTATTGCACTAATTTTGTTTTTTGTTTTGCCACCGTTCCTGCAGTTATAAACAAACTACCTGAGAAACACGATGAAGTTCTTTTAAGTCATGAAACACCTTCAGGAAAAGTAATAAATAAGAACAACGGGAGTCCTTTAACACCCAATCATCCGTTTATTGACTGATTTCAGTTTGATTTTCATGTCATATTTTCCAGTGATAATCACCAACATGTCAACCTTTAGTTTCCTTGTCATTATATAACACAGGATGGTACGATTCAGCTGCAGCCCCTCCATCGTACACTCACAGAAACACTTTAACACACAGGCAGCAGAGTTTATAAGAGAGAAAAACAGATTACAAATAAAATGTTCAACATTTAAAGATATGATATCTAGAATTTCTACACTAAAATATCAACATGAATAACATATGTCTTATTTTTTTGTTGAGTACTTACATCACCTCAAATATTTCCAACAATCATCAAAGCCAGAGAAATCCCTTCATTTTGTAGTTGTAAAAAAAAAAAAGACAACACAGTGCAAAAGCGTGTTCTGTCTGTCGTAAAGCAGTCTAGTGCCGTAAACATAACTCTGTCTTAACAACTCCTGTAACAGTCTTTAACTTGGAGTACTGTCATCTACATGCAGATGTGACAAATACAAACCGTAAAGGGAGGTAGTTATACACACATCAAGTAGGAGCAGGGCAGTTATAAACCAGCAAACTGAGGAAGAATTATTATAGTTACCCGTTTGAGTCAAAGGTCCAAAAACATTAAAGAGGACATATTATCAAACCTCCACCACCTTTTCAAACAGTCCCCTGTGGTCTAAATGAAACATCTGTGCTGTGCTTTGTTCAAAATATAACATGAATCAAGCACCAGAGGAGGTTTGTGACCCTGTATGAACCAGCTCTCTCAGAACGCTCCGTTTTGGTGTGTGTGTCTCTTTAAATGTAATGAGGCCCCCCCCTGAGTTTTCTCTGTAGACATCACTCCTCTGGAGAGAATAAAAATGGAGGACCTGCGCAAAAGTGTTGCTCTAGGCTCGGTGGAGTCCATGGGTGGAGATAGCAGGGGAGGGGAGGGGATTTTTTTTTACCAGAATCCCACTGTGACATCACAAGGAGAGCACATTTGAAAAGGAGCATTTTTCTCTGTGTTGTAAGACTTATGCAGACCACAAACAAAGAACTGGATGGGTTTATTTCACATGTTGTGGGTCAGTAGACTCTCAGGTTACCCAGATATATGAGGATTTTTCATCATATGTTCCCTTTAAATGTTTCAACCTTTTATCTCATAATTTCAACTTATTATCAGCAAAACAAATTTTCAACAAAGGCAAAAAAAAAAATCAAATCAGTAAAGTGTGTTCAATCATTTCATGAACACATTCACTTCATCCACACAATCACTTTGTTTGATCAGAATCTCCACTCACAGAAAACAATGATTTATCTCCTTATTGATTTAATCAGGAGGAATACATTTTTAAAACACCTCAGAGGACATTTTTACATCACTTTGAATATGAACAACAACATTTATTCTGACTAACTCATTTCTTTAAGTGTGATTTTATAGATTTTCTACAAATGTACAAAGTGGTGAGAAGAGAAAATCAGCATGAAAGAAAAGTTTGCTGCTCTCTCTCTCTTCAGACTCCTGAATCAGAACAGAAACAACAGAAAATATAAATGTATGAAAACAAATAATCAAACATGGAGAGCAGAGAGAAGTTGATATTTATCACTCAGAGAAATGTCAGTTCAGGTGAACAAAAGTCATCCTGAGCAGTGAAAGAGTCCACGGCTAAACAGACACAGGAAGGAGTGTCACTTAAAGACACTCAAACATTTACAGAACAGACGAGAAGAGGTCAAAGTACCGCCCATAAAGTCTGATTGACAGGTGACCACGAGCAGATCTCAGCAACGAGCGTGGATAAAAATCAAGTTGAAGATTTAAAACACAGCAAGTTAAACATCTGTTTAATGTTTACACAACTCAGCAGAGGCTCCAACACAATAAAACCTGAGTCCAGCATGTAGAGGCTGAGTGAATGTGGTCTGGACTCTGTGGAGGAGAGTCATGGTTTCAGAGATGCTGTAGAAGGACAGAATACCTGCTCTGTGATCCAGGTACACTCCTACTCTGGAGGACCGAGGACCTGAGACAGGAGTGCTGACTTTGTTGTAATAAAAGTTACAACTGTCACAATCTAACGCCCAAGATTTGTCATTACGTCCAAATACACACTCATTCGATCTCCCTGCTCTGCTGATATTCTTGTATGTGACTGCTACAAAAAGTCTTCCTCTCTTCTCGACTTCCCAGTAACAACGTCCAGTCAGACTCTCTTTACTCAGGACCTGAAGACATTCAGTGAATCTGTCTGGGTGACTAGAATAAGGATTGGTCTGACTCGTAAATGTTACTTTTCTGTTCCCATCAGATAAGAACAGCTTTGTGTGTGCTGTGTTTGGATCCAGTGTGATGTCACATGAATATTTTAAGAACTCAGCTCTGGTCTTGGGCTCTGGTTCTGACAGTAAAACATCCACTTCAGTCACTGTCTGTGAGATGTTTGTCCATTTCTCTCTCAGGATGTCCTGTAGTTTATCTCTGACTTCTGACACAGCCGCTGTCACGTCCTCAAAGTACCTCAGAGGACGGATCTTGATGCTGGATGAGTGTGTAGATTCACTGAGTGGTGACAGTGAGGGGTAGTCGTGTAGAAACTGGTTGTGGTCCTGTGTGTGTGACAGCTTCTTCATCTCAGCGTCTCTCCTCTTCAGCTCAGTGATCTCC